CCGGTCGTTTGTCCAGGTAGCCTACTCGTAAGGATTTCAGTCCGGCTTCATGAGTTCCAGGTTCTCAAAACTGCTGCGGCTCCTCCCTAAACCCTAAACCCTAAACCCTAAACCCTAAACCCTAAACCTGCTGCGGCTCCTCTTTTCCATTTCTGGGCCTCTCCACTCGCGTCCCTTTTCGGAGGTCGATATTTCCTTGACGGAGGGGAGGGGGGGCGGTGTTGGACATATTATGTCCTTCGGAACCTGCCAGAATTTCGGTCCTACCTGTAGTCTCCATTGTAGTTCCTTTTTGGGGATATCTTATAGAATTCTTAATATATAATTGGTTAAACCAAAAAAAGGAACTACAATGGAGACTACAGGTAAGTTCTCAGATCACCGAAACCCAAAGGCTCTGCTCTGCTTGAAGCTGACGCTGAGCCTCTGAGCTCCCTGCAAGGGTTTAGGGTTTAGGGGTTTAGGGTTTAGGGTTTAGGGGTTTTGGGTTTGGATTCCGAAGCCTTGTTTTTGAATGAACCTCCGAACCGACAGGTTTGTTCAAACACAGACGCTCCAGCGGGCAGGCTGTTCACTCTTAAGGGGAGGCGTCCCCAAAGAATTGTACTTGGGGCTTATAGATTAAATTACTGCTCAGGTGTCTTTCCCCTGTGCGCCGACAGAGGCGGTCTGCAGCTGTCACTCTCAAGACAGAGAATGTTCGAAGCGACCTGTACTACAAGGGCTAGGTACTGCAATGGGTACTATCACGGATGCCGTCATGGTATACAAGGGTGGAGAGGGAGGTCGAAACGCCTTCAGATTTATGCGGCTGTAATTGGATGTCTGGCCACTTGACAGCTATGGAGCATCGAAGAGTTTCACCATGTTCCTTCTGGGAAGGTCCTCAGGCCCCGAATAGTACACAAGACTCAGGTATGCAATCTGGAACACAGATGCGATGCATTGCGTATCAGACAAAGCTTTGCAACAAATATCCAGACGAACCAGCAAACACAGGCTCCAAAGGACTTCTCACCCCCCAGCCACTCCCGCCACATGTGCCAGGGGGCCTACGATTTACCGCCCACCAAGAGCATGGCGCAGTACTTCTAACATCTCGTGCACCAGGATCGGTCTTGTGGGTCCATTGATTTTGGGGGCTCCTGATGAAAATTATAGAATAATATATTCTGGGGGGCGTCCTGATGAAAATTTATTGAATAATATACACCCCAAAAAGCCTGTTCTAATTATTAAGGCCCCTACATTATCTCTTCAACCCTCTGAAAAAACGATAAGGACGAGTGCAGACAAGCATAGTGTAGTGTAGTGCAGAGTAGTGTAGTGTAGTATGGTACAATGACTCTTCGCATTGAGCTATCTTGGTTGCACCTCTGCACAGGATTGCTTCAGCTGCAGAATGTCGAACACAAGGAGGCTCATCCCGTCATCATGGAACAGCTCTTTTTGTTGGCCAGACTCGTCTTTGAGATGAGATTGCTTGCGGCACATCTGCTTGCAGGAGACGGGCAAAGAGAAAGTGATCTGGCCATCACTGGGTCAAGAGGTCTGTTGATGAGGGTTTGGCAAGCGCCCGCTTAGTGTTTCTTCGCGCCTGGACACTTCAGGCACATAAGACCTTCATTCCCGAACAGATGTTCCCTTTCACTTCCGAAGTTTCCTGAGTTGTTGGTCACTTGTCACTAGTCCTTTGACCCAGCTTCCCCCTTTCCTTGGGCGGCCGCACCCTCAAACTCTTCCTTTGTACATGATGGAGCCGGGAAGTTTCCGGCGGAGGGCCCTGGAGGATTGCCCTGACCTTCCCAATCCTCGATGTGTGGAGTTAGGCAATGAACCTTAAGGCCAAAAGCTAGACTCTAAACACCCTACAAACCCTGAACCCCTAAACCCTAAACCCTGGAGTAAGGAGTTCTTTGAACCCAGTCAAGGGCAGTTTCCACAGTCCTTGGGCTTTCCCTGACCTCAGCGGCTCACCACGAGGGCGCAGCACCTGCCCGCTAATCTTACGGTTCTATTCGGTTGAGGTTTCTGTGCGTTGATGCGAGATGGAACGTAGTGTTGGTGAGTGTTAGAGTTGG